TGATCCCAGGGGGACGGGCTGCATCTCCAGTACCCTTGGAGGGAGAGACGGCCAGCTCAACTTCCTGGGCACTCAGTGCCTGCATGGGGAACACCCTCAGATCTGGAATACCCTGCTTCGTATGAGGATGTAGAAGCAGAGGGAAAGGGGGATAATCGGTGGCCCAGGTGTGCAGCCAAGGCCCAGAGAGCCCAGGCCCAGAGTGGGAGGAGCTTAGAGGGGACTGAGGCTCCATACTGCGGGCAGTTTGGAGGGATTTGCTTGGGGGTTTCCGGGGAAGAGGATCACAGCCAGTAAGCTACTACCCAGACAAGTTGCCTTTACCCAGCCCCTGACGCGTCCCAGGGGGTCATCAGGGACCACTCCCATTCCCACCCCAAATTGATGGGAAGGCTCTGTGGGAGAGAAAACGGGACCACAGAAGGTGCTGGAAAACCTGACAGCCCAGCAGTTGTGGGGGCAACTTTGCCCTCAAGTCCCCTCGTCTGCCAGGAATGAAAGTAAACACTACCAAGACACGATCTGCTTGGGGAGGAGAGGTGGCCAGTTTCTCGCAGGAAGAAGACCTTGGGCCCCTTCCTCCAGGGGCTTTTATTGGGTTGTAATACACAGGAATACAGGGCAGCAAGGATCAAACAGTAGATAACATTTCAAAGAATTCTGAGGGCTTAGTCTGAGTCAGTGTCTGTCAGTGTCTGTCAGTGTCTGTCAGGAAAGGGGGTTTGCAGAAACTTTGGGAGACATACTCATTTCCTGCTCAGACCCTTAATATATGAGTGAAAACACTCTTAGCAAAGCAGGTTCACAGGGTTTTTAGGAATTCTTTGTGATGTCAGATTTCTCCCCAGATACCGCTCTAGCAAGGCCAGGAGCTGCACCTCTCCCCATCAGGTTTTCAGGCTTAAGTGGATTAGAGCCAGGAAGCGCTTCTCCCAGAGGACATGGGGACTCAGGCTTTGTCACATAGCTGGGGGGCAAGGGTCCATTGCTCCTTCTTTGTCGAAGCCTGTCAAGTCCTTCCATGATGGCCTCCCAAGTGATCAAGTCTGGCTTAGGTTCCCCCCCCACCCTCTGTGAGGAGTCTTACCCGTCATTGACCATCAACCGTGCTTTGGGGGCAGGGGAATGAAGCAGAGGCAGCGTTTGCTACCAGAGACAGGCTTTGTCTCGTAAGTGGCTCACTCAGTCTTAGCCATGGGGGGTAGTTACAACTCCTGAAACCAGGCAGAGCAGTTCCCAATGAGCAGCGTCCTGAGTGAGCCTGGCTGAACCGTTCAGTTCACCTGCCCAGTGTTGGGGTTCAGCCCACAAGGGATGGACCAGAGGGGGAACCTCGGCAGGCAGTGTCCACATCCTACTGTTCCTGTGCCTGACTGAAGACCCCCCACTGTCCTCAGCCCTCACCCCCCAAGAAGCTTGGCAAGAGGTCAGTGCCCCAGGGCAGCGCTGGGCCCCCAGGAAGAAGACATCTCTGGCTCTGCTTCCCCCACAACTCACATCTTCTCCCCTGGAACCCCTGGGGACTCCCAGTCCTCTGGCCAGCAGGGGCCCAGGGCCATGCCTCATTCGGAATCTCAGGAAACAACCAGGCACCCAAATGTCGCGGCACTTACTGGAGGCCTAGGGAGATGGGCCACACCCTATGCCCCAAGGGCCACGGAGGTCACTCAGAGCTCCATGCAGGGGAGGCTCAGCTTGTGTGATGCTTGCCACTGAGGCCGGCTTGGAGAAGCTGGACCCAGGCTGGGCCCTTCCCCTGCTTCGGCCAGGCAGAGAAGACAGGAATCCCCTGTGTCATTCTGGGCCCCAGCGGGAGACCCAGGGTCTGGAGTTCCACCATCACAGCCATTCAGCCTCCAGCTCTAAGCCCCTGGGAGAACTTGGCAGGCCCCTGTCGTGGGAGCACAGACAGCCCAGGGACTAGAGAACATGGGGCCGGTGTTCTCCCCTCCAGGGACCAGTGGCTAAGGCTCCTGCCACTCCAGGACACCGGGCTCCCAACACTCCATAAGGGCCACTGACCCTTCCTGCCGTTCAGAACAAAAGTGCCCTGGCAAGTGGCAACTTGTAAATCCTGGGGCTCCTCCTCCCCAGGGACCTAGACTCAGCTGAGACGAAGCCGGAAGCATTTGGCGGCTGCCTGGCAACCCTCGCCTGGACCACCAGAGCCCCTCCTGTACCCACGCGGGTCTGTCCTGCCTCCCCTCAGTACCTCCAGCTGCAGTGCCCTGAGGTGGAGAACTTTGGGCTGAGGACACTGGGCAGCCTCTCTTTGTCTCGACCCACCCCCGAGCTTCCCCTGGACTGTGCTCGGGGCTGCAGGCCCAGGCAGGGGGCGGAGGGGCAGGGATCTGAGGGTACTAGGCTGTTGAGGGCCCTCTGCGGGTCAGCCCTCCTTGATCAACATCTGGTGCCTGGGGTTGCCCAACCCCAGAAAGACAGAGAAGATGGGCCCCAACCCGAGCAGGGCCCCGGCCCCCCTGGGCCTCCCACTGAGCCCTGCTCTGGCCTCTGGGCCGTCCACAGACCAGGAAACCAGGCGGAGGGCTGTGCTGGGCCCTCTGAGGCTGGAGCAGCGTTTCTGAGAAGTAGAAACCCAGTTTTAGGACAGCGGGTGACGTGCCACCCACGTGTGAAGTGTGACCTGAGGCTCATTGGTAGGGTACGACTTCCCAGTTAAAGGCTGGCATCGCCAACAGAGTGAGAGGGTGGGGGCCCCACCCCTACTGCCACGCTGTGCCCCATGTCACCTGAGGCCACGCCACTGAGCCAGAGCTGGGACTGGGACCCCGCCCTCTGCCCACCCTAGAACTGACTCAGCTGCAGAGGCGGCCTCTGTGGTGTTTCATCTCCAAAGTGGTTTCCCAAGCCCAGGCGTCTGATTGCAGGGTGGGATGGGGGGAGTGACTGCCAGCCCAGTTCTCTCTGCTCCAGGGCTTGGGCTCCCTGTCCCTGTAGCCCCCACCTCTGACTGGGAGCAACAGGCTCTTTGCTGTGGTTCTACCTGGAAGCAGGCCAGCCGCAGACACCAGGCTTGCCCTCCTTGCCTGAAAGCAGGTGCAGAGGCCTTCCCAGCATCCTGGCTTAGACTTCGGACCTGCGTCCCCCCAGCAAGGAGGCGCTGGCCCAGCCCTCTTCTCTGGGGACCACACTGGCTGCTCTGCAGGATGGTGGGATGGAGGCAGGCCGTCCTGGGTGCCCTCACCGGCCTCCCTGCCTGGCCGTGCTGAGGCCGGCCTGAGAATGGTGCTCCGGGCAGGAGCAGGGCTGCCCCGCTGCCCCGAGGAGAGCCTGGAATTTCCAGGGCCCCCCCTCCTCACGGTCTGGAGAAGGGAGCAGTCTGGGAGCCTCTGCCTCATGTGGCAGGTCCCCCCCCCAAGGGCAGGCCCCCACCTGCTGGGTGGGTGTTCACACTTACACATGCCTGAGAATCTCCTGGTGTCCTGTAGAGGAAGCCCTGTGGGTTTTGCCTGAAAGCTCCATGTCACCCTGTGTCCTCGCTGGCAGAGCCCACGTGCCTGAGCCCCTGAGGCTTCGTCGGCGTGCAGCCCCTCCCTGTGCAGCCAGGAGGGGGGCCAAGGAAAGACCACGGGGCACCACCCTGCCCAAAGGCCGGGGTGTGCGCGCAGCCCCTTTCTGGCTGGGAGGAGGCAGAACGGCACGATACAGCCCAGGTTAGTGCAGACTCCAGTGAGAGCCCTGGGGGGCCGAGACCAGGCCCTGACAGGATGGGAGACCAAGAGACTGTGCAGGCTCCGGCCCCCTGTGCCCCCCTTCTCACCCTGCCGCCCAGGTTGACCTCTGCCCTCCACAGGCTTGTGGCTGTCATTGAGCCATGGGACGGCCTGTGGGTCCCTGGAGGAGGGAGGGGTGTCACGGGGTGGAGGAGGCCCGCCTGCCTGGCTCCCCTCAGGGGTTATCTCAGCAGGGATCTGAGGGCTCGGACAGACCCAAATTTGGCTGCTTGCTGGAAACAGAGAAGCAGTATTTGCATTTCAGGGCCATCAGCCCTGGAAACCAAATATTTTATTTTGGGATCAGGCCTGGAGCCACAAAAAGCAGACCAGCAGACCAGATCAAACGCCCCCGCCCCTGCCTGTGTGCGGGAGGAGGTGAATGAGGACCAAATCTGGCACCCTTGTCACCTGCGTGCCTACCCCAGAAGCCAAGGGCAGACACACACGCTGCGGCCTTTCCTGGCCCCCCTCCCCCATGGAGACCCACACACAGGGGCAACCATTAACAGAGACCTGTGTGGGGGTACAGCTAACCAAGCCCCAGCCCCGACCATGACCACCCTGTAACAAGTGTGATTACTGAACCCATTTTATAGGTGAGGAAATCGAGGCTCAGAGGGACAGGTCCCACGGCCAGGTGGTAGAGTGGCCTGAGAGCGGCCTGGAGAGCGGCCAGGAGGGCGTCTCGGCCAGTCTTCTGATCCCAGAGCCCGTATCAGCTCCCAGGTGGCCAGAGAAGCACTGAGCGCAGTTTGCCCTTGTCTCGGGTGGTCAGCACAGCTACCCCCTCCAGAGTGTGCCTCATGGGAGTCAGGCTCCATTTCAGCCTCTCCCTCCCTATTCTGTTCCTCCATCAGCCCTGGCCATACCCTCGGGTCCATCTGCAGACCTGACCCGGCGCAGGAAGCCCTGGGTCCACCTGGAAGGCAGCCTGGGTGTGGGCTGTCTCTCCCAGTTCCCCGGGGTCTGCAAGACATCAAAGGGACCAGCCACCCTGCTCACTTCCTTTTGCACGGAGCTGACATTCCCCAGACCCAGTTCAGCCTGGCCACGTGGGTGCTCGTGTGGGAAACCGCCCCCATGATCACGGGGCCCCACACTGGGCAGTTGGGGACAGGGACTCAGGACACCAAGTGCCCCTCCCTCCTCATCCTGCCCGGCTGCCTGCTGCCCACTGGCCAGAACACCTGCAGCTGTCCGCAGGCCCAGGGTGCAGGGCCCAAGGGGGATGTCTGAGGCTCAAGGCCGCCCAGGCCATGGAGCCTTGCTGGTCCGCACAGAGTTGACGGAGGCCTGTGAGGACAGGGGACCTGCTGCGAGCTCTGTGGAGACGCTGGGCGCCTGGACTGGGTGGCCGCATCTACTGTCCCATCCTCCCAAGTGCCCAGCTCAGGGACACCCTTTGGGGGAGTTAAAAGGTGGGGGAAGGAGGGCAGTGCGGCTGCCTGGAAATTCTAGAACAGTCCCTCCTAATTCACCAGTGCTTTCGTGGGGCGGAGGCAAAGACCAAACATTTCCAAAGTTTGGAAGAATGATGGGGAGAAGGGTAAATGAGATCAGCAGTCTCTAGTAGTCTCTTTTGGGGGACAGGTGGTCACAGACCAATGTCTTTGATCATCTGAGGAGGGTCTCTGCTCCCCCCAGCTCGATGACCACATCCTGACCTCATTGCTGGGGACCAGCTCCTCCGTGGACTCAGACCAGGAAACACAGGCTCAGCCACACTTGCCACCTGCATCAAGGAACTGGGCTCAGACTCCCAAGGGACCTGGGGCTTCGGCCATCAGCTGCAGAGCAGGGGTGAGACCCTTCATGTGCTCTCTGCCTTCTGGAGCCCACATGACCCCTGGGTGGTGGACTGGACTTTGTCTCCCAGACAGGTGAGTTATGTCCCAACCCTCGGTGCTTGTCTATGGGATGTTATTTGGGAAAAGGGTCTTTGCAAATGATCAAGTTAAGGTGAGGTCATTTGGGTGGCCCTGAGCCAATGGCTGGTGTCCTTGTAAAAAAAGATTTAAAGACACAGACACACAGGAAAAGGCTGTGTGAATACGAAGGCAGAGTCAGGTAATTGGCCATTGCCCAAGAACTGCCAGCAACCCTAGGAGCAGGACAAGCAGGAATGACCCTCCCCCGAGGCCCCAGAAGGGGCAGGTCCTCTGACAACTTGATCTCAGACCTCTGGCTTAGGACAGAGAGGGTGAATCTCCATGGCTTCAGGCCATCCATCAGCCCCAAAAGACTCCCACAGCCCTGTCCTTACCCAGCTCCCTGTGAGTGTCCCTCCAAGCCACCCATCCCTAGGCAGCCTCCCTGGCTGGGACAACGCTGAGCCAAGTCTGCTCCCCTCTCCCCAGAGCCTCAGACACTGGTGGGTCACGGGGCCTGCAGCCTGGCCATCCTGATTCTGGCCCTGCCTGCAGATCACCGGGACCTGGGCTTGCCTGCAGTCCCAAGTGCCTGTGCCGGTCCACCTGGGCTGTCTGCTGGGAGCCCCAGCCAAGGCGAGGGGCCTCTCTGTCAAGGACCGGCACGGAGCACCGACTGCATGCAGGCTGCTAACTACGTCAGGACAAGTAACTACAGCAGAGATCCTTACGAATGGCATGGGTACAGGATCATGCAGGAGGGAAACAGTGTGTGAAAAGAGGAGCTGGCCCAGTCCAGGCGGGCTTCCTGGAGGAGGTAGTACCTTGAAGCCTTACAGGAGCATTTGCAAGGCAATTGTATCCCTCAGCCCTGCTTGGCACATAGTTGACACTTAATAGATAGGATCCCCCAGAGGGGTCTGGAGCGGTTCTCTGCACACCCAGAGAGCAGGCAGCAGGACAGTCCTCCGGTCAGCCTGATCATTGGGACAAAATCTCCCCTGAAAGGAATTTCTTGAGCGCATGCTGTATACTTGGAAGGCAGGACTGGGTGTCTGAGGCTCTTCCTCCCAAGTGGGTGGAGCCTACCCCCCATCTTTAGGACCCGGCTCACCATCTCCCTGTGCTCCCCTGCTCTCTGTCAACTCATCCTGTTTAAATATTTAATCCAGTTAAATATTAAACCTCTTCCAAGTCCCAATTACGGCCAGATCGATTCTCCTCTCTGGCTGTGCTGCGGGCCTGGCGCTCTGCCTTTGCAAACGGTGGGTCAGCTCGGTGGTAGAGGGAGGGGCCTAGAGGTGGAGCAGGCAGACACCTAGTGGGCAGTCAGCCCGGCAGGAAGCAGACAGCCTGGGCCTCCACTCCCCCACCCCCAGCACGGCCAGGAATACCAGGGAGTATTTCTCGGCAGCACACAGCCGAAGTCCGTCCTGCACTCCAGGACATGGGGTCACCTGAGCCGGGCAGCGCTCTTGTTCTCCTGGCCACTGGGGGAAGTGGATCGAAACACTTCCTCGAGGCGGAAGCGTTGGCTTCCCGCTGGGACGGTGGACTCTGGGAGCCACGACCTAGCTCTGCTTAAAAGCAGTTTTCAAATTATGCCGAAGAGCACAGAAAGCAAACGTGCTCACGGTAGGTAGACCAGCCTCCAACACGGAACACGCACGCAGCGTGGCCGCGGGTGCGTTCACTTCCTCACAGCTGCGGCATCCTCCGTGCGTCCTCTGCAGGCTGCTGTTTCCCTGTGGGTGTGAGCTGCACGGTGTCATGCTCGTGTCCGTGTTGACATATGTACAGCAGCCACGTGAGATACACATTATGGAGATAACGATGTATAGCACACAGTAATGTGATAAAACACGTGACGCTCTGTCATAAACCCCACATGGCCAGTCCATTTTTTGTGCGGCTCCTTTGCTGACTTCCGCTTTTGTGTCCAGAGCCACCTGGAGAGGCAGAGCTTCACCTGGTGCCCCTGTGTGTTGCTGGTGACCCCCTTTTCTTCTCTGTCTGGAGTTTTCTGCATTAAACTGAAGCTGCTCTCACTTCAGCACTGACTGGAAGTCTCTGTAATTTGACTTTTGTGGTGGCTGTGTTTAACAAGCCATTCACCACATTCCCCAAAATTTCCCCGGTGGCCCTCACGAGCAGACCCTGCAGACGCCGCTCTGCCACTTTCCTGGCCGCTGCGTGGCTCCCACGAAGGCCCCCAGGCCGGGGATGTGGGGGCTTCTTGCCATCTGTCTGACTGCTCCCCTTCCTCTGTCTGTCCCCTAGTGTTCTGATGACTTCAGTGTGATGGTAAACCTTGATACCTGGTTGAGGGAACTTCCCTTATTTTTTTTTCTTGAAATCGGCTTGGCAACTCTTGGCTTTTCCATCCAGAGACTTTTTAGGGTTATCCTGTCAAGATCCAAGAGACATTTGTTGAGCTTTTGATGGAAATTGCATTGAACTCACAGGTTAATTTTAGGAGAATTGCCATCTCTGCCATATTGAGACTTCCTATCCAAGAACATCGTAGTTCTTCATTTATTTAGATCTTTTATATCTTTGAAAACTTTTGAAAATTATTTTCCTTCTAATTGTCATGCACATCTTCCTCTTCAGGTCCAGGTTCATCCTCCCCGAATAGTTCTCTCAGCAGGGGTCGCCGAGTGGAAAACCCGTCGGGCTACATTGGCCTTCCTGCCTCCCTCGGTGCTGGCAGGGGTCAGCGGAGGAGCATAGAGTTCTCAGCCTGTGGCTCCTCCTCCCTCAGTACTTCGGGGACAGGATTCTGCCACCACCTGGGCTCCCACTGCCAAGGAGCCGTCTGTGGCCAGTCTATCTGCCAGGCCTCCGCCACCAGACCCCCCCTCATCACTAAGGTCCCTCCAACCAGGGTCCTAGGCTTTCACTTGGCTGGGCCCAGGTGGGAATGTGCTCCTACTCGTCAGGTGCACTTGCATTCACCAGTGTGTCTGGGGTGTGCTGTGTCCTCACCGGGCAGAAAGGGTGAGGGAGCTCTGCAGGTCTCTTTTGTCCAGACCGGTCCCACTCATGAGGGCTCCACCCGCATGACCTTGCCACACCCCAGAGGCGCTACCAACTAACACCATCACCTTGGGGGTTGTTAGTTTTCAACATCTGGGTGTGGGGGATACATAGAACCAAGTGGCCAGAACGGTCTCTGCAGCCATGGTGCATGAGGGGTTTGAGCAGCAGCAGTCCCCATCTCTTAAGTGGCGGTTTTGGGTGCTGACTCATCTGAGACGAGGCCCTGGGTCCAGGGAAGGCGGGAGAGAAGACGGCCCTCACCAGAACCCCGCTGCGCGGGCTCCCTGGCCGTGGACTTGCAGCCTCCAGAACTGAGAGAAATCAGCGTCTGCTGCCTAGAAGCCCCCGCCCACGTTGTCCTATCAAGGCAGCTTGAGCGGGCTGGGACACTCTTCCTTGAACTTACGTGACCTTTGTTGCAGTTTATCCAGCATTCCTAGGTGTTATTGGTTGGGATTTTCTCCGCGCTGCCGCCGCCTGGGGTCCCCCACACCCACTCTGCACCTCCATGCAGAGCCCTGCCTCCCACGAAGACCCACAACTTCAAACGTCGCTGGGCACCCTGATGCCAGCGTGGGCTCCGGGGAGGCAGGGCAAGCCCTGCCCTTGTCCCCGTGGAGGTGTTCAACACCGCACAACTGCTGTCTGCGTTCCAGCTGGGGAGAAATCAAAGAGAAAGAGCAGACACCAGTCCTGGCAGTGCAGGGAGCTCACTGGCCAGGCGACAGTGCTGCTGAATAAAGCGACAAGGAGGCCACCGCAAAGGAGACCGGCGGGGGGAAGGCATTTCCCCGGGAAGCCCGAGACAGCCCCAGGCCTCACCCGAGGCCACAAGAGGCTCTGCGTGGGGACTGCGCAAAAGACGGCGGAATGAGGAGGAGCAATCGGTGGCTGGATGCTGCTTTCAAGAGGTCAGGCAATGCACCAGCACGGGGTCCGGTGCCTCGGAAAGGCCCCATACACTGACTGCCCCCAGCCTGGGAGGTGTGCGTGGCTGAATGGCGGCCCCCAAAGGACATGTCTACATCCTCACCCCCATAACCTGCGAGATAGAACTTATCTGGGAAAAGGCCTTGGTAAATGCCATTAAATTAATGAATTCGAGATGAGATCTTCCTGGATGATGCAGGTGGGCCCTGAAGAGAAAAGCAGGAGAGAAGACCGGACACATGGGCCAGAGGCTCGGGAAGACAGAGGCAGAGGCTGGGGTGATGCAGCCACGGGCCCAGGGCGGTGGAGGTCAGCAGGGGTCGGCAGGGGTCGGCAGGGGTCGGCAGGGGGCAGGAAGGGTGAGTGTGTCCTGCCACACCAGGGCTCCGGATTTCCAACCCCCAGAACAACGAGAGTAGATTTTCATTGTTCTAAGTTCCCGGTTGGCGGTGGCCTTCCCTGGGTCCCCGCCACTGGCCACTGGCCCAGGGCGCTGCTCACACAGAGGCCACCCCGGCCGTGCTCAGACCTAACGCCTGCGCTTCGTGCCTCGCCTGCTGCCCCCTGCCCGTCCCAGCCACCACTCAGGGCAGCGACTAGTACCCATTTTGCAGAGTGGGAAACCCAGGCTCTCAGAGGTCAGACACCTGGGCCCTGCTCACAAGGCCCCAGGGGATTGAGCCAGGTCTCGGCTCCCTCCCCCCACACACGCCAGGCCTAGACAGTTCAGCGGCAGCAGGGATGGGGACTCATTCTCTGAATTCCGGGTAGTGGAGTGTCCACCACCGCTAGACAAGACCAGCCTGCTAGACTGGGGTGGCCAGAGGAATAGCCTCTGGGAAGGTAAGGGCTGGGCGGGGAGCACCCCACCGCCCCTCAGGGCAGCAGCATCACTGTTGAGGAGGAGGAAACCCACTGACCACAGAGGACAGGCTCTTGGCCCAGTGTGGCCACCACCCAAGGGCCTCCCTGGGACGCTGGGAGGGCTCAACCTCCCCTCCCCCAGCCATGGAAGCACCAGGCTGGGAGGATGTGAGGAGGCAGACTCACTGATAGCTCGGTAAAATCCCAAAATATCCCAATTTACAAAATTGACCCAAGAGAACATTGTGGAGACCGCAGGGGGCCCTGGCCCAGAGAACCCTGGAGTCCCTGCTCTAGGCTCCCCCATGTCCCTGGCACTGTGCCACCTCTCTGCCTGCAAGGATGGGGTCAAACTGGGAAGAAGACTCGAATGTGAAGAGGGAGGGTGCCTATGGTCTGTTCTGAAATGAAAACATTGCGGAACTCGCTGTGCTAGTCTGGAGCCTCGGCCACATCAGGCCACAGTCACTGCAGCTGCCTCGGTGCTGGGGCGGGGGAGTCCTGGGGGGGGAGTCCGGGAGCCGCCGCTTCAGTGCAATGGGCCCAGCTGCCCCTCCTGCAGGCCCCACACAGGCAATGCTCTTCCTTTGGCTCGGTTGCTTCATTGCTGAAGACAGGTCGACACACAGTGACGTGTGCAAATATGAAGTGTACAATGCATTGAATTTTGAGGGGCTATTATTTCTGAACATCTACGTTTTCAAACAGCTTCCGTACCGCACGGTCAACATGCAGTAAACTGCACACATTGCCAGTTCAGCCTGTGTAGGTGCCTGTGCAGTCACCACAGTCCCAACAGTGAAATCAGCAATCGCTCCAAAGGTGTCATACCCACCCCCCGCCCCCAGGTCCCTGAGGACCTGCCTCTGTCACTGAGGCTGTGCTGCCTGGTGGAACTACCTCTGAGTGGAACCACACATGCGCACTCTTTCCATCAGCCTCTTTCTTGCAGTGGAAGCTCCAAGCTCCATCCGAGTTTTTGCTTTACGAGTTCACTCATTCCTCTGTGTTCTGACCTGCCCTCCTTGGTGTTAGTGCCCCCGCATTGTCCACGCACTCGTGAGGGGAATTTCCAGTTTCCAGTTTGGGCCGAATTGAACAGGCTCGACCCCGGCAGGGGCGGGTGGAGGGGGCTCTTCCCTGGGGCTGGGGCAGCTGAGACCTGCAGACTCCAGCCCTCTCTGTGCTTATCTCAGCAGCCCTTGCTGTCCTTCCCCACCATCACCACCTGAATGTTCTGCTCTCTGCTGTTGGTAAGCGGAAATGACTTGAGGAATTAATTCAGACTAAAATGTCAGTGGTTACTCTAGCTCAATACGCAGCTGCTCCCAGAAGGATGTGGCCTTTGAAAGGAAAAGCCCAAGGAGGCAACGACAAAGGAGCTGCTGACGGTGGGTTCAGGGAGAGGCTCCTGGGGGAGCGGAGGCTTCCCACACTCCGCACATGCGTCGTGGGTCCTGCCCTCCAGGTGGGGACGAAATGACTGATTCAGCAAGGACAGCCTGCGGACTGCAGGCCGCTGCTGGTGGCAGGCAGAGATGTGGGTGAGACAAACGAGGTGTGCGTGCACCCCCAGCAGCGGCAGACCCCCTGAGCCAGGGACCGTGCCACCTCAGTGACAAATGTGCCTCATCACTGCCAGAAACACACGAGTCAGAGCAGCAAAAGACACCCTTTCCTTTTACCTTCACCTCGTCAGCCAATAGTGAGAGGATGAGTTACTTATAAAAACCGGGGAGAACAAAGCCTCGGGTCTGTCACTGCTGTTTAAAGCCAGAGAGTGAGAGAAAAGGATTGCCTACCGGTCCCGTTTGGAGCCACCAGTCAGATGTGTCGCTGAGGACAGACCTTGACTCCTGCGGCGGCACTTCCATCCCTGCACTTGCCCGGCTGGCCCGGCTCCCCGTAGACAGCGTCTGGGGCAGAGGCAGGGCTCCAGGACCCGGCCCCAGAGCCCAGGGTGTGGAGGGGATGCAGCACAGCACACAACAGCGCTGACGGAGACCTGGAGACGGCCTCACCCCACCACCTGCCCAGTTCCTCACTGGAGGTCCCGGGCACACACATACGGGGGACACGCTTGCTGGGCCCTCTGTCCTGGGCGGACCTCACTCTCTACGCCCCCTCCTCATCCTGTGCCCTCAACCGGGTCAGCCTCTCTAGGACCCCTGCCCCATCCCCGGCCTCAGAGCCGTCACTTAGAGGCTGACACACTAACTAGACTGAAGCATTGACGACCAGCTGTGCGGGCTTCACAGAGAGGGTGGGATAGCGCCCTAGGGACCGTTCGCAGTGGGAATAGACGTTGCTGCAGGCCACAGACAGCAGTGGTGGGTGAGGCACTCAGAATTCCCAACAGGCATGAGTGGGTTCTGTGTGACCCCTGCTTGGATCTCCTCAGAGGCCGGCACAGCCGCAGGCAGGTTCCAAGCTACAGCCGGGCCAGCGTGGCTCCTGTCCAGAAGGGGAGAAGGGGCAACGCCAACGGCTGACGGTGCGAGAACGCCCCTCCGCCCTAGGTGCCAATCTTTCCAGCTGGATGAGAAGTCAGTTGCTTCTCAGGGAGGGATGGGGCCCAGGCTCCAGAGCACTGGAGCCCCAGTGGAGCGGAGCTGTCAGAAAGGGGCCGGCACCACAGGGACAGCCCTGCGCAGAGAGAGGAGGACTTGCCCCCGGTCCAGGGGCTGCTCCAGTTAAAGCCATCTCAGCTGGCCTTCGCTCACCTGCATGCGCTCTGACTTTTGACCACCCAACACCTGAGTGTCCGGCCTCCAGGGCTGGGCCTCCGTCTCCACTCCCGGTCTCCAAGGCCCCCGACGGGCCCCACACGGTAGGGTCCCCGAACAAGTGGCAAGTCCAGGAGGCTGTAGGCTCAATCCAGGGATTAGTGTTGTCCTGGAGAGTCTGGAAGCTGTAAGGTTCTAGAAGTTGCCGCTTTAACTTGGAATCCTTCTGGCTGCTGGCCCATGCACAGACTCACTTCTGCTTAAGGGTACAATTTTTGGGAACAGGTTGGTGTTGGGGAATGTGAGAACCATGTGCCTTGCTTAGCCCTGGAGATCCCACAGGCCCTATGGCAGGGTCAGGGGTCAGACTGTCCCTGGGGGGCCAGAAGCCTTGCCTGGGGGTGGTACCTCTCCTGCCCCCACTTTTGAGCAGGAATGAAGGGGACAGGCCTGTCTTGGAAATTCTGTCCATGTTCTCTCAGCTCCACACACTCTGAGCCTCACCTCTGAGCTGCTACCCCACAGCTGGCTCCAGCCCAGGTGCCACGCCATGTCTCCGTCCAAGCTCTTGGGCGGGCCATGGGGCCAGGTGCCACTTGTTAGAAGTTAGCACCTGCCACCAGGTCTGGGCTCAGGTTCGGGAGCCCACAGCAATCCGAGATCCTCCCTCCGAGGGCAGATGTCCCGAGCAGGGCAGGGACGCAGGCGTGCCGGGTGAGCCGAGGCGTGGACCCCACCGCTCTGGGCAGGCTGGTGGCTGTGGCAGGGAGGCAGGGTCCCTTTGTCAGGCACGGCTCCCCTTCCCTGAAAAATGTGGACTGCCTTCGACAGCCTGGCCAGAGGACTCTGGGGAAGCTAGTATTAAGTGGAATTAACGAAATATTAAACAAAGCAGGAACAATTTACGATAAATTATGAAAATGCTATCAGAGCCTCAGTCGCCGGCTGGCCTGGTTCTCGGTGCCACATTTGCCCCCCAGGCCCCTGAGGGGGCTTCCAGACCTTTGTCACTCCCAGGGGAGGCCTCCCCTGGGAGGGGCTGTTTAAATACATGGCAGTGGAGAACTTAAACTGTAAAGATTCCCAACGTACTCCAGGAGCACATGTATAAAAGGTGACAGGAATCAGATGGCCTGGTCCCATCCCCATTGAGTCCCCACAGTCTCTGCAGCCCCGGGTCTCACTGACCACTGACCGCGGGCGCCCAGATGGCTCCCCCGTGGCCTTGGCTGGTGGGCACCCCT